TAACTGTTATGTACCTTCTCAGCCAGTATGTAAATAATCTTCAGCAACCCAGAAGATATATTAAGCAGACTTTCATACTGTCTTCCGTGTATTTTAGTGGCAGCTTTGCTATCTCAATATAATGTGTGTTTTGTTAACTTTGTTATTTATTTTTTAATACTTAATTTTTTTCTTTCATCATTATTTTAAATTTGTCCACTTCCTAAGCTTTGTAAGAACAGTGTCTGGATTTTGTACAAAATAAACGAAGTTTGATAGTGATTTTTTTTTTTTACATCTTATATCTTCACTGCAGAGATCTTCCTGTATAGATTATCCCAGTTCTAGCATCAGTGAAGGTGTCACAAATAATGATATACATGTAAATGTTAAACTTTTATTTTTCAAAAATAATGTATTAACAAAACATCTATAAAATCAGATCTACGTGTAAATTGAAAGTAAAAAATTTTGTCATACAAAACTCTATTATGTCATGATAAAAAATATGTTAATATTGATGACTGTTAACTGGGCACTCCAAATTTGTCCCTGTGGTTCTTCATTGCCTTGGCCATCCATTCTAATTGGTCTAACATTTTCTTGGCTCCTGATTCCATGTGGCTATTTTGGGGATTACCTTCAGGATCAAATGCATGTTGCACGGTAGGAATTCCAAAAATGTTTGATACACTAAGACAGCCTAGTTCTCCAGTGATTGCTCTCAAAGCCATGGCAGCTCGCATTCCACCAAACTGACCTATGAAGAAAAAATAAAACTTGGATGTGTCTTGTAGAGAACACAAAGTAAATTTGTATGTGCAAAAGCAAGATTATCACACAAAAGTGTTAATTGGCTTAAAGATGCAAAATTGCAAAATCAAATTGTGCTAAAATGAAAACCGTGTTGCACAGTCTATAGTTTTTGTCTTCTCATCTGGACCATTAAAATAAATAGATCCAGTTTAATGTACATGTAAGAAAGACTCGAGGAGTAAACGCACAGGTAAAAGAGTGAAAAAAAAAGCAGTACAAAGAATATGTAAATTACATTACAACCTCTTATTTGGCACACTAAACACACATCAACTATAGCAGTCTTCATTTATCGATTGATATCACCATACCAAACAAGATTGTGATTTAAATCTATAGAATTGATGAATCAGAAATAGCATGTCTAATGGTGGCCCTGTTACTCATCAGACGATTTTCAAATGCTCTTTCTTTTATACTCTGTACACATATGTAAAACATATCTTTTACTATGACCCTACCTTTAACTAGGGATTTTTTGGACAAAACCTGATTCTACACTACACTGGGGTGTTTACGTGTTAATCTAACTTGAATTTACACAGTATGAGGATGCATATAAATTATACCAATTGTGATCTTGCTGTTCTCAAGATTTTTAAAGAAATTTTTAATAGGGCTTATGGCGAGTGTGTCCAGTCGATAGGGGATGATTACTCTTCCTATGCACCTGATCCTATCTCTGGAACTTACAGGGGTTTGTGTTTTATGCCCTAACAGATTTGTTTGTTTGTTTGTTGTTTTTTTTTTTGTTAGGTTTTTTGAGATTGATCTCTGTTTTGGCCCCACTCCTTGCTCTTGGGATTCTAATTTCACAAACTTGAACCAGTACACTAACGGGGGATGCATAATGATATGAATGATGCCCTACTGTGTGTGAGAAGAAGAGATATTTCAAAGAGTTGTTCAACTGTTGTGTTTGTTTAAAGAGCGGGTGTGACCGGTCGGCAGGGGATGCTTACTCCTCCATGGCACCTGATCCCACCTCTAAATTTTGAGGTCCGTGTTTGCTCTGCTCCAGATTTGTATCGTTTCATTGGACTTTCGAAATTGAATACTGTTCGTTATCTTCATATTTCATTCATATCTTCTGAACCAAAGAAAGAATATGAATAAACATATTAATTTTTTACCCCCTCTAAGCCGGGTTATAATTTGAATAATGGTTTAATCTTCATTACTTGGGCTAGTAAGTGATGCTTGCATTATTAATTTGACTTTTGATGCCATGTTGTTCTTGAAAATATTATGGCTCCAACTTTTGCTAAGAATATGTATAGCTATACAAATTACGGGGGGGGGGGGGTCCACAAGTACTGATAAAGAGGGCACGGACAGTTACAGTACACTCTGTAGCTATACAAATTACGGGGGAGGGGGGTCCACAAGTACTTATGAAGGGAACACGGACAGTTATAGCAGCTACACAAATTACGGGGGTCCACAAGTACTTATGAAAAGGACAAGTACAGTAACAGTAGCTATACAAATTACGGGGTATATAACTTATTTAAGGAAGATGAAATATTTGAAATGCTACTTGAAGTTAATTATTATACTGGTCGAAATACCCAGATGTACTTCTCAAGTCAATTGACTTTATTCGAAGTTACCATCAAATATACAGGTAAATAGGCGCATGTTCTAGTATTAAAAAACTCCAAGAATGAAAATTAAAAAAATATATATATTCTTTTTGTGTGACAACAGCTTAATTTTCAATTATTTGAATTTTAATACTGAAATATAAGTTAATTATATTTGATACACTTAAAAATTATTTTTTCTGATAATTAAAGATAGAAATGCAATTTTGTTTACAAGGTGTTTGTTAGCGTAATTTCTCTTCTCCCAATTCTCCTTTTCTGAAAATAGTAAAATGGAGAGTTTTGAACACACTTTTATAAACCTATAGTTGTGAATAAACTCGATCCACTTGCGCAGGAGATCTGTTTTTTTCTCGATCAGTATATTTGTTCCACCAGCCAGTTCTTAAGGTCTTAACCACCTCGTAGTTGTGCTGTTCGTATGAGTATTAATTTTATTAAATTTTGTACACCGCTATTTTTCATTGCTATTTACCTGACACCACGGTATTCTGTTTTATAGCTGGACTAGTGTCATGTTCTAAATTTTGAATTTACTGGGTGGGAGTAAATACAAAATTTAGAACACCCACCCGGTAAATTCAAAATTTAGAACATGACACTAGGATATATAAAATAGTTCTATGTAGACATTTATGCCAGTGTCATTTACTTCCATATCTAAATCAAATTCACATGTGATCCTGTGTTGTTCCTCTGCTCGGTTACAGGAAGTTTTAAAAAAAAGTCATGTTCTAGTCATGTTCTAATAATTGAATGTACTGGGTGGGAGTAAATACAAAATTTAGAACATGACAACCACGGGGGGGGGGGGGGGATGTGCATTCAAGAATAGCGGTTTTAACACTGAATATTTTAGATATTTTAGGATAGAGGAAAAAACAAACTTTCGTGAAAAAAGTAATAAAAAAATTTAAAAAGCAATTGTAAAAGAGGGGAAAGCTCGATTCCTAAAACACTTTAAACCATACTTGGAACATAACTTCTGCATGCACAAGGTATAGAACATGACATTACTTCCACCAGGTAAATTCAAAATTTGGAACATGACACAGCCATCCGTGATAAAAAAAAAAATATTGTCTCTTAGTAAGTGTTTCAAATGATTTTATTCCGGACTAATTCGATTTAATTGCAGATTCAACTTTTAAAAAATGCAAAAGCCTGTCATGAACTTAATCAACCTCTTTTTCCTTGTGTTTCTTGGACATTAATCTCAGTTTCCCCACTTTAAACCTAATCAGAAAAAATATGTTTTCAATGATACTTGCCCTGGGAATATGTAACAAGTCCACTTGGTTTAAAGGAGTAGGCACTGCCAGGAAAGGCGTCCAGTAAATTGGTCAGTGCCGGTGGGACATTGTGATTATACTCCGCAGACACAATGACGTAAGCGTCCGCCTCCTTGACGTACTTTTCGTTTTCTACCAGAATTTTAGGAGCTTTTTTTCTTTCCGGACCATAAAAATGTACTGGTTGTGTCACCATAGGGAAATTCATCTCCAAAGGATCTTTTATGAAAAAGAAAGAATAAAGATAATACAATAAGAATTTTACAATTTCTTATTTTACCCTCAGATGATTAATAGTTCTATTTTTAAAAATCATTTCATGCATGCTTATACTAGGTCTTCATTTTCATTCAGAAAAGTTAATGAATAATTGAAAAAAAAACTTAAAAGGCATTAAATGTACACGTTCGTTAGAAACCTACAGCATACCTATGAATCTCACGTTAAAATGGAACTTCTTCCCATGTAAATATACTAATTAAGTCAAATTTTTTTAATGACAATAAAAATTAAAAAATGACCACGTATAAGCTTGAAACAACAATAAAATTTATATATTTAAATATATGTATATTAGCTTTGTTTACAGAGGAGAGGGGGCTAACATGGCATAATAAATCAGGCACAGATCCAGGATTTTTTTCCGGGAGGGGGGGTCTACCCCATTCCAAAAAAAAAAAAAAAATAACAAAAAAAAAACAAACAAACAAACAAACAATTTTAAAAAAAAACCCTAAACTCCTTTCCAAAACGTATCAAGAAAAAAAACCCACGTAAAATCCATTTTCAAAACGTGAATAAAACCTATTTCGTGGTGGTGGCGGCGGGGTTCAAGTTTTCCGGGGGGGGGGGGTGTTCCAAAGTCATTTTTAATTTGCTTCAGTATGTACTTTTCATAACTTTGCAAATTTCAGGGGGTCCTGATCCCCCATGCCCTCTAGATCAGCGCATGTAAATTATTGATATTATATTTTATAAATGAATATACTTTCAAGAACGACAACCGTCTTTTGTTTACTATTGATTCAGACCAGGTTCAAATTTTAGGACAAATGCAGCATGTTATGATAAAGGAATAATTCAAACTCAGTATACATGATTGTTTTTGAGAATACTGAATTGACCTGTAAACTATTTACATGTATTTGGCCTACATATCATTGTAATAGCACACATGTCTCACCTGCATGCTGCCCCCCTTTTTTTTTAGGAAAAAATTAAGCAAATTAAAAATAAAATATACCAAATAATGTGACGTCGAAATTCCGTTCCTCTAATTTCCTCCTCATGAATTTGACAACCCTGAGTCCTTGTCGTCCGTCCCGAATACTCCCCAGAATCAGAAGAACTTTTAGCTTCTCTGCCATCTTCGCCTAATGGTTTAACTAGAAAATGGATATAAATAGATCCGGAATATTGACAGAGTATGCTTTATTCTTGTCCTGGCCCACTAGAGGATCACGTTATAATTATATATTCGTATTGCTTGTATTGTTAAACAAAGGCTGATGATTTGATCCAATGAAGTTAACGAAGTTCTAAATTCACCCCTTTTTTGTAATTCAAACTCAGTCTTTCTTTAAAAAATAAAATAGGAAAATAAATTATTTTTAAGGTCAAGATCTAGTAAATGAAAGGAGCCTAGAGATTTCTCAAATTTGAGAAATAAATTCCTTTAATGCTGCTTTATAACTATAGCTTGGTCAAATAAGGTGTCTCGGGGCATAATTTGTAGGTAAACAAGACGAAGAAAACCAGTCATGAATATGGGAGTTTTTTTCCATATCAGACATATATATATATATATATATATATATATATATATATATATATATATATATATATATATATATATATATATATATATATATATATATGTGAAAAGAGAGAGAGAGGATATTCAATGTTTTGTGGATGAATATGGAATTTATTTCACGAGTGGGACAGAATTTTTTGATATTAGAGTACATGTATATGTATACTAATCTTACGTATCACGCCATACATTGCCTTTAAATTGTGCGTTTTAATGAACCTGAACGTGAAATTATAATCCCCAAATAATTAAATTCTTTGATACTGTCTAACATATGCATGTTACCATTATATGTAAAAGTATATGGTGGTCTTCCCTTTGAAAAAATAAGTTATCTTTGTCTTTTTTTCACATTTACGCATAATTTCCAATTTTCTCTTTGAAAAAATAAGTTATCTGTCTTTTTTCACATTTACGCATAATTTCCAATTTTCGCAGTATTCATAAAATTCATGTAATGCTTTTTGAAGATCATCTGCAGTTTCGCAGGAATTAAATTGAAATCATCAACGTAAAATAAGATAAACAATTTCATATGTACAAAAACAGCTCACCTCTATACTTTTGGTAATACTAGACAGCCCTACAATATTCTTTTTCATCAAAGAATCTTCCTGATCCTTAATATACAATGCAAATAAGAATGGTGATAAATTTACTCTTTGTGAATTGTCGTACTCCATCATTACAATTAAAAAAGTCAGATGACTGACCATTCATCTGTATTTTTGATTTAATACCATTGTACATGTTTTTGATAAAAGTAAAACATTTACTAATAACTACATTTCTGAAAAAAATCACACCAGACACCGCGCCAAACTGTATATCAAAAGCTTGCAATAAAGAACAGTTTATTAATCCAAGATGTATATTACAATTATTCAAAAGGTCCTTTGTACCAGACGCTGTGAAACAGTGGAATTTATTAAAAGTAGAAACGAGAGAAGTCATCTCAATTCATTCCGTAAAAACTTAAGTACTTGCACAAAAGTCATCAGTCCGCCAAAGTATTTTGGTAAACGCTACACAAACATAATTCATACCAAACTTCGACACAACTGTTTATTTAATTATAATCTATAAAAAAGTAATATTATCAGTAGTCCTCTTTGTTCATGTGGTAAATAGTAGATGTTTATCATTTATTTTTTGCTTGTAGAAATTATCCAAATGCTAGGAATAATCTTTTTAACCGCCTGTTGCTGCTTGACAAATTGGTCACTATAGACACAAACCTTTTATCATGGACTGATATAAATTTGCCTTTACACACTAATAACAATATTTTTGCTGCATCAATTTATTTCTAAAACTTGTAGAATTTAAATTGCTATATTATTGAACAGAATTTTCACTTACATCACTAGTAAAATTTATATTTTTATGTATTATTTGCATGACATATTATTATATATAAGGAGAGGAACCAATAAGTTGTAAGAACTTGTTTCCAATCCTTTTGATTCATTCAATAAAATATGTCAAAACAAAAGCTTGCTTAAAATCTATAAATCCACAAAACAATTTTTCTTCTTCTGTTAATGAAAGTCTGAGACAGAAAATGTAATAGAAGAGGAGTACCCTTTTCTGAACCCAGTTTAGTGTAACATCTACATAATTCTCTAAACGGTTACTTAAAATACTCGTAACAAGTTTACACAGACAGCTTAAAGGGGGAGGAAATAAGCACCACCCTCAATTTTACCTGGTCTGTGAACCCCTGTCAATCAGATGAAATTAAGCCTGAGATTGGATACTGAAAATTGATTGACATTTTGTTACCTGCCGTTGTGTATATCTTGTATACCTTGGCTGGGGATCGTACCGATCATTGAATTAACATTCAGTCTTTGATGCCTACCGCATATATAACATCGTCAGTGATAAAGAAGCAGCCAGAGCTGATATTATTTTTTTTTTTACTTTATTATAAAGTAATTAGCCATATATAATTTATATGTAATCAGTCTGTCAAATAATAAAATAAATGAAAAATAAAATCATTGAGTTAATATATCTATTTCATTGTAATTGAGAAAGGGGGGGGGGGTCATTTCACTATACAATCTATAATGCAGTATAGATTATCCAAATTTACACGTACATCAATTTTACTTAAAACAGAAAATACTGAACTGCACTGGAAGCATCGTGTAATTTAATAAAATAATAATTCCTTTTTTATAATTATGAGATAGTCATATTGTCCAAGTTAAAAATTTTAAGACGTGTAATATTTCTTCGAGACATGGTGATGAAAGTTACGGTAAAATAACCAGTTTTAAAGAGAAATAAGCAGTATTATAAAAGCTGTCATTGCATATACAAGGTATGTTTAGAATTATGGATCCCGAGGAAAAAAAGTAGTATAAAGTGATTATATTCCCGTTTCGTCTACCTGTCGGAGAAACAATACGCGGATGCCATGACCATTTTTATGAAACATGATGGGTTAATCACATAGGAATTATATAAAAAATATTTATCTAATTTATTATGTATATTCTACAAAATTTAGCCTTCAGACAGGATTTCTAAGTTTTAGAGACTTATTCAGGACCGCGCTTTTTTCTACTTTCGTTTTTGTGAATGACTATTTCCCTCGGTGTCACCAGCTTACAACCAAAGATTTGAAATTTATTAACGCACAAAATTAAACTAAAATTGTCTCCTTTATTCAAACATATTTTAATAAAAGAACTGAACTAAAGGAATCAGTCTACATAAAAAATTAAGCATGTTTTATTTCAAAAATTTGACGATCAACATTTTGATTGACCAACACGCGAAGTTAAACTATGTCTTGTGAAAACATTTACAGGTAATATACAGGTAACATCCTGTGTATATAGGTAGGTATACACAAGCCAGCTTGGTTCCCTCGGGGCTTCAAAGCCGTTTCAATTAAGCTCCACCCCACACCAAACTTCCTGAGGAAAACCGACCGGTTGAAAACCTCGGCCTTTAAAAGAGTGATTGAACAATAATTCTCAGGATGAGTTGGATTCCTCTTAATTGTGTAGTTTTCTTTGACTGTTCCAATTAGCCATTTTTTCTGGTACAATACCACTTTTAAAAATAAGTTTTCATAAACTGGTAAAAATGTTGACAAAATTTTTCGTATGTGCTTATTTAGTACATTATCAAAACCCGGGGCCTTGATGTTCTTTAGTTTATTAACCAAAAAAGAAATGTTTTTCCCTTATAAATCGTTGGTCGAAGATCTCGTTAGTAATGTAGTTATCCATATAGTTTGCCCACATTACATTCAACATTACTAGTTTCATTCACGTCTTTAAACAATAAATCTAAATCTACGGAACATTTGTCTGCTCTCTTGGTGTTATTTAGAATATTCCAGTATTCCGCTGTATTTGTGGTACGCAGCTTTTTAAGTTTCTGTGAAACATCTTTTCTGTACTGTTTAATGGATTTATCCATTATCTTTTTGTAATATTTACTCGTTTCTTTGCTGTCACTCGTTTTGTTTAGATTACTTATACGCCTGGCTAGGACTTGCTGATTTACAGTTATTATTAAACCATGGTGTATCTTTTTTCCTTGGATTAGTGGATCGAAAAAAAAATTTCTTCCGAATGATTTTTCAACAGCATCAAAGAATGCATCGCATGTTCTTGAAATTACATCGTTAATGCTTTCTTGAAATTCTCAGATTTAAGAGTTCCTGTTCAATAATTTCCAAGGTAAATTGATCGATGTTTTCACGAAAATCGTCTGCTTAGTCATTGCACCTATTATAAATAGTTTCAAATTGTGTTTCATACGACTTGCTATTGATATACATGTATAAATGTATATAATTTGAGTGATTTGTATGAAAATCGCATGCGATGTGAGTAAAAATTCCTCATTTCATGATTTGACCGTAATAATACAAATTCAGTGGTTTACATTTATCATGTTCTATTTTTTTTAAATTACCCGGATGAATATTAGTACAATAAGGAGCCCATGGGCCACAACGTTCAGTTAAGTCAACATGGTCCTACTGTTCATGCATCCAGGAATTGTTTCGGGGGTGGGGTCTTTATGTCTTGATATATTGACAATTGACTTCAATCAACTATTTGGAAATTTTTCCATATTGATTTGACTAATGTATCATTGTTTTAAAGATTTCTTTTCTATTTTTCGCTTATATTCCAGAGAGAGAGAGAGAGAGAGGGAGATAACACCTGGCCGTGCCGACAAATTGAATACCGCGCGGTATGATAATTTGTCGGCACGGCCAGGTGTGTTATAGGACCGACGACATCCAAAAATAAGAATTCAATGCTTATATTTACATTTTCTAATTTTCTCTCCTCATAATTGTTAATTTTGTTAATCTTTATTATGAATTTAGCGCCTTCCAGAACTGGTGTGCTTAATAGACGTAAGAGCGGTTTGTGACGTGGAAAGTTAAATAACGCAATTGAACATTGCGAGGAAAAAAATGACAAATCAATTTTAAACGCACAGTCGTAGTTTTACGTTAATTTAACGGGGTAATTGTTTTTCATTAAATTAAGTCAAAACAATATACATTTTGGTCTTCCTAGAGTATTGAAAATGCATATAGTTCCTACCATGTATTTTACCCCGCAGTGACAAGGCTTCGTGTGTTACAGAGATTTGAACGTCGTAGATTTCTAATGGATTTCATTAAGAAAGTCACACTGAATGTAAATATAATAATATGTCGAGAAATTTTGATACGATTAACCGATTTTTTTATATACCCAAAAACCAAATTGAATTTGCATTTCTGACTAACACGACTTCTCGAGAATGTTGTTCTACAGTACTCCATAGCAGTGCAAACATCAGAGGTGGAATCAGGTGCAACGGGGTAGTAAGAATCGCCTATCGATCGGGCACTGTTTGTGCTGCTTGTCATGATGGTTTAAACGGAAAAAGCTATAGACAATTCAGTTTCAAAATAATGGCCTAACAATTGAAATTAAATCTAAAGTTTCTCTTTCACTGTTGTTAATATTTTCTGAAGAGTACAGAAAGAGGCTTGGTAGAACATTTACTAGGGCACGCTACGTATCATGTCACACATGCCTGTATAAGGAGTTTATTCTCCCAGTCGATTCGATACACAAGAGCATGTTCTACGTACGAATAACTTCTAAATCGAGGCAAGCTATTGACAAAGAAGTTTGATGATACAAGGATATCAGCAGTCTCGTTTGAAGTTAACATTTCGCAAATTCAATGGTCGATACAACGCTCTCTACGTGATGATCACGGCCGCGACTGACCTAAGTCGATAAAAATAGGTAGAAACTGTTCCTTCGCCAAGCGCTTGGCACTTTGAAGTTAAAGTTGCAGGTCTTTCAGATAAGACCTTAAAAACCTAGGCCCCGTATCACGGTAGGCGTTGGCACGATAAAGAACCCTCACAGCTCAATGGTCCTAAGTGCCGAGTAAAGGACTAACTTTGAAGCCGTTCACCGGTATATGGTGACGTCTCTATATGAGGGAAAAATTCTCGAAAGAGAAGTGAAAAAACATTCAATCAATCGTGGTCGATACAACGACCTTGTTAGCAAGTGCAATCCATCGTTGACTGATTTTTTTCATTCAGATTGTTAGGTCATTATTTTCAGACCTGAATTGTCTACGGATTTTTTGCATACCCGATTTTGACAAGGAGCACAAGCCGTGTCCGGTCGACAAGGGATGCTTACTCGATCCTCCATGGCACCTGATTCCACCTCTGATGTTTTGGAGTTCAGTGTTTGCTCTGTTCACATCTTTGTTCTGTTTCAATGGATTCTTGAGCTTGATTATTGTTGGTCATCTTTATATTTCACATTAGAAAGAAATCCAGAAGGAAGGGTAAATAAATAGGAGCTTGGGAAATAGTGTCTAAAGTTTAAAACTACGCTTGTTTCATATTTAGACATGTATGTTCAAAATCTATACTTAAAAATTAATAAATTTTGCAAATAAACTCCGAAACGGCTGCACCAGAGTTCTTACTTAATTACTCCTCTAAGCATAATCTAGATACAAGATGATGTCCGTAAACTATATTTAGATTTCACTCGCATAGTAAGTATCGTACATTAAATTAAAAGTCTACTTTCATTTTCTATACACAGCCATGAAATAGCAAAAACGTGAGTACGGTGGCGTTTCCGGTTGGCGGATCTAAGTTACTGGCAATTTTTAATGAAACTGACAACAAGCAATCGTTTATTTATTTCATAAAAAGTCATCACTGCATTATTCAATCAAAACATGATTTAAATGATATAAAAGAAATAAGTTGTGATAACCGATTAAGAAGGGTATGTGCAAATTATTTTCGTCATTCACCGATCTTGATATTGACGGAAGCTTCTAGAACATCATAAGGCATCGAACCCGATGTTATAAAGAAAAACGCTGCGTGAACATTAAAAAGCTTTTGTGTGAATGGTCATTGAAATAATGGTAAATCGTTGATAACACTATAAGTTGTGAATATATTTATATATCGAAAGACTAATAATTACATATATGTCGTAAGTTTTCTTAATAAATTTATAGGTAAAATTTGTGTATATTCTCACTGAGAGCATTGTGGCAACGAACCCTAAGTACAGTTTGTACTTTGTAATGAACTTGCTTACATGAAAAGAGAAAATTAACGAATAAGGTATTGTTCAAATACAATTAAAGCTGTAAAATGTTGTGCTTTAATCAATACATTTCAGTTTTTTGCTGAATACAGTCTTTAGTATAAAATTCTCGGCCTATTCATAGGGCGTTAAAAGCTAATTTTTACACAGGTACTTGGGTCTTGGGTTTTAAAAATGTATGCACCTTATTCAAATGTAAAAGTAAAGTACATCAGTTACCTACCAATAAAGTGCATACATATCTACAAACCAAGACCCAAGTACCGGTTACTGAGTTTTTAACCCCCCTCCCCGAAATCAATTTATCAGTAAAATGTACATATTCGCTGCTTTATCCTTGACGGAAATGAAATAAAAGCATCAGAAGTACAATATCAATAATATAGTATAACAGGTTTAACAATAAACGTCAATTAATGGAATTGTTATTTTTCGAGTTTTTACAAAAGAAAAGGGGGGGGGGGGGGAAGACGTACATCTACTTCATGCGGGATTTTTTTCCTGATATAATCCTGTTGGCTGTCAGTAGAAACTACAATATATTTTATGTCGGTAGTGGTATTTCATCTAGTTCAATATCAAAGCTACGCTTTTATCAAACTATGATATGAATTTTCATAAACCGATTAAATTCTAAGATAATCTGTCATTTTTGAATTTTTTAAAGTCAAAATCAAGATGGAGACACGAACAAGTATGATATTTCTACAAATATCAATAGCATAAATCTATATCTTTCAGCAAATCACGTTAGTGTCCATGAAGAAAGTGAACTAAGCTGTATAAGATCCCACCATGAAGACATACTGTACATGTTATTGTAAAACAATTTCAAGGGTGACATGGTAGCTCGTGATAAACTTTCAAAACATAAGGCAAAATTAAAAAAGAAAAAAGAAATATCAAATTATTTAACATGTTACAACAATTTTGTCATCAATTGATATTAAGATAATAATACGGATTTCGATGACAAATCATTCACTTTAGCTGTCACACTCTGGGCATAGTTTTACCAGCCATGTGCCGATACAAGCCATTGTGCGCGCGCAATGACGTCATTACTGTAGTCTCCGCCCGTCGTTCCAACATCAAGATTTTCCCAGGATCTGACATTACTCACCCCAAAGTTATAGGCAGCTACTCCTCCTGGTAGATTCAGAAAGTTAGAAAAAAATTAGAAAGAATGATCATTTTGATTAATAGGTCTGGAAAAAATCCTTTTATCTTTTATATGGAAATAAAAATAGGGAAATAAATGTACACCCGCATATTTTTGATCAAAATATACATTTCATTATCATTAGTATTTATCATGTATATACGTATAATAGCGGTGGCTTTTCACCAAGTAAAAAACGATGATCGAGGTTTAAGTTCTCAAAAAATCTCCCCCAAAAATTTCTTGTTTGACTTTAAATACATGTATGTATTTCCAATTTTACCTTGGATGTGTTGCTGCGGTAACCAGTTTGGAAACTTGCTCTTGACCGCCATGATATTTGGTACTAGTACATATGTAGTCATCATTCTGATGTGATCGCAACTATCAAACCTGTATGTTGTGCACTTAACTCCAAACCGACATACGGGGCATTTTCGAACATCGCACTAGCAATAAATCATACACAAAACACAGGCACTTGATGCTTTATACAGTTTCTTTACAATTAAAAAATCCAAATTATAATAATTATAGTATATGGATTTTTTTATTGTAAAGAAATGTTTAAAATGCAAGTACCTGTGATACACAAATTCATATTATACGATGTCACACCAAGTTACTCTTCGTTGAACTTAGTATGTCTCGTCTGGTATATACATGGTTGACTTTTTAGTTCACTGGAGGTTCTCTCAACAATCTGGCGTCTATTTGTTGTCCGGCGTCTGTAGACGTATAGAGGATCTATATATAGGGGTATTTTTAAGAACAGCGGGATATCAATATTAGTATGAAAGCATTCTTTGGTGGTGAAAATTCAAGTTTGTAAAGGTTTTGGGGTAGGGTGGTGCTACAATAGATGATCTTGAATGGAAAAAAATCTTTTCAAGAACAGCAGAGCTTTAGTAATTTGTATATGCAAACATCCTGAGGTAGTAAGGATTAAAGTTATGTATAAATCGAGATCCCAGTGTAGTATAGAATCATAAAGAGGGAAAAAATGTCTACATGAGGATGGGGACTGGGGGGGGGGTGTCTTCTTTTCAAAAAACAACAGGGCCATGATTTTTTTTTAATTTAGATATGCAGATTTTAAATTTGTACAAATCAAGGATCTGGTGGTACAGTAGGACAATATGGGTCAAATATTTACATGGGGAAATATAGAATAAAATCTTTCTCTGAGAACCACGGGGTCATGAATAGTAAATAAAACATACAAGCATCTTTAGATAGTGCATATTTAAGTTTGTTCAAATCAACGGTTCCGGGTTGGGAGGCACAATAAGGGATCAATTATATAATATACATGGGGATTTAAAGGAAAAATAATCTTCTTGTCTATAGAAGAGCAGGGTTATAATTAGTCATATAGTCATGCAAGCTTACCTGTTGTGCAAATTTCAATTTAACCAAACCAGGACCCCTAGAGTTAGTAAGGTTAGTGTTGGGCCACAACAGGAAATCAATGTTTAACAGGAAAAATTACAAAGTTGGAGGGAAAACATTTATTAAGAATCATTAGTAGAACAGCAGGACCACAATATGGATCACATTATTATGCAAGCATTCCCAGATAGTACAGAAGTCGAATTTATTAAAAGCATCCCACTGGGAACACAATAAGGGTTCATATACTTACATAGAATCGATAAGTCTAAGACGAGCATTGTGGCCCATGGGCCTCTTTTTTAATCTGGTTGGTTCATATACTTACATAGAATAGACAAGTCTAAGATGAGCATTGTGGCCCATGAGCCTCTATATGTAACTACTAGATTACACTGTTGTCAGATTTTCAGACTGTAGCTCACCTGCATAATACCATAAGCATTATGATTGTCGCCCCATCCATCAGGTGTAAGTGAAAATCCAAAATTAGATTCTCGGCTGGCAACACCCGCTATGACTGCTGGATGTAGACCTACATCAACACAGAAACAGAAAATAAAGAAACGAATACCATTATGTTATTAAATTTTCAAACAATATCAAATAGATCTAACCTATAGAGACTTATACCCCAAAAAATCCCCCCAAAATCATATTAACTATTATTACAAATAATTTTTTAAAAAGGCAAAAAAAAAAAAAAAAAAAAAAAATAAATAAATAAATAAATATATAAATAAATTTATTCGCTACATAAACGTATTTTTTAAACTAACGTACAAACTTCATTTCCAACTTGCGCAAAACACCCATGATATTTGTTAGCAAGACTGTAATGAGCATCCAATTCCCTCCTCGATTCCTGTACCCCTACAGTTACATAAACAGTAACATACAATAACACAGGTGTCGAAGACATCTTGATAAAATTCTCCCGAGTCATATCGAATGATGCTTTATATGAACAATTATGAATATCAATCAAATGCAAAATTTATAACGTGATAACATAGATTAAATGGTTCTATAAAAACATCGTGCAATAATATAGAAATGACTAGTGCACATATTGATTTAGAATGTTGTAAAAAACCTAGACAGAAACATGCAGTAAAGTATTGTGCGTTAAGCTACAATTTATGACTTAAAATTGTTTTAATAGTACCTCCTGACTTTCTTCCAGACGGACGTAAAAGCATGAAATCTCCAAAACAATTGAAACCTCCTGAAATGTAAATAATAACGTACACCGCCCATGCTCAAACCCTTGAAATAATATACAGTAATTTCCTGGTATTTAACAAAAATATATTACGTAATGTAAGATTACCGTATTTTATAATCTTTTTTATTCTTGGACTTTTAAAAAATGCTGGTAGCTTGCTGATGGGTGCAAGTTGATATGGGATTGCTGGAAGCTTTCTGACAGGTGCACTTTGTTTTAGGATTGTAGGTAGCTCGCTTATACGTGCGTGTTGATTTGGAATACAACACTGTCGCCCTGAATAACCATTACACAGACCCTTGTGAAATGTGCCTTGGCAGGTAAGATATGTAGGACCACAAACGCCACCTTTCTGTAAGCAGGGACCATCTCTGTCTAAAAGAGAAGGATGTTTTACCAGATGAATCTATATGAGATGGATTATTTAATTTACAATATATGAATTCTTCCTTTTCTAAACCCGAAATTTACTAAAGGAAATGAATATAAGAGCACGGTTCTTTTACCTGTAGTAACATTATAGTGTGGCCATTTCCTGATCGCATTATACAACGTGTAGCCGGGGCATGTTGTAGCCCTGACGTCACGATGACCGTACAAACTGTATGTAGATGTGATTGCGTTCCTGTTAACGCCACACATCAGAAGTTTACGAACTGATGCCACTGCCGGTGTGGGTGGCATTGTATCATTGAATGTCCCAATGAATGCTGCGGCCAGCGACACGTAATTATAACGATAGGTATGTGCTCCAACGCGGTCCCAACCTCGGCCTTCGTAGACCTGACCATCGCCGCCAATGAGAAAACTGTAAGCAATGTCTTCCCAACCTACAACGATAAATTTTTTGCCAATTATTTTTCAAGGACAGAAATAAATAAAATAAGCATATTTCTATGCATTTTCTTTTTGTATTTCTAGTATATGTTCGTCTACTCATTGTTCCTTTTGAAGTGATAAAACGAAGTTATTCATTATATTAATTATTTTCAATTTAATTTATGTGGTATGAATTATAGAACGTGTTAAATCTAAAAAGAGATATAAGAACCTACCGCGGGTGACCATGTGAAATCGTTGAATTGCTCTCATAACAGAAGAACAGGATTCCGTGTCGTGGCACTGGTCTGTTTCTGTGTCGGTGTGGTGTATGAAGAACATGGTCATTGGTAACGTCAAATTCTCAATGAGTTTTGGACGAGCCGCTCCCCACGTATCACGTGATAATATTGGTAGGCCTTGACAATCTCCAGTGTCTTGTACTGAAGATTTATGTACAGTGTGTATAATAAATCAGTTTTTATTAAACAATGCTGAAGCCGATTCAGGTTAGGTGAACCCCCACCTCCAAAATAAAAAAAAAATAAGAAAGTCTTGATAAAACTTATTCCTATTGAACTCCTATCAACTACCGGTACAAGTGTGTCTGAGTTTCTGTTATTATTAATTGTTTTCATTGTTTCTTCCCCTCCCTTCCCCGGAAACCCTGGGTCAGTTCCCATTACCAGAGAAATATCGGTAAGAACTAAGTATCTAATTCAAAGGTTTTCCTTTTAAATACATATCAAATGTAAGAGCTTATTTTAATTCAACAAAATCGGTATATAAAACATGAAAAAGGCTGTTCTACGCACATCCTGTTAACAAACACTTACATTAACCACAGGCACCTGAAGCATGGATCCCCCTCCTCCCCCAACTAATTGATGAAATATAAGAAGTTTTTATTTTCCCGAAAATATGTGATTTCTCCTTCAATTCTATCTGTATGTCATTCTGTGCAATCAGAATGTACTTTTGTTAAGGTTTAAAAATTGGTCATATACGGTTTAATAAAAATACACAAGGTAAGAAACAAAAATTATAAACAAACAGGGGAGTTCCCCGCTTCGAGGCTGATTTCCAAGGTACTAACAATGTAACCTATCATATTTTTGCAACCACTCTGTCAGGGAGATGTTCTCTTACTCGTCTCTTTAACAGTGTTTAACCTAAACCGTCGCCCGCGTGGCGCAGTGGTAGAGCGTCTGCTCTAGAGTTATTCCTTACGTCGCGGGCTCGAATCCCACTGTGGGACGTGGAGACCGGTCCTTCGGATGAGATCGTATAAACCGAGGTCCCGTGTCGCAGTAGATCCCTCACTGCTCAATGGCCCTGAGTGCCCAGTATAGGTAAAAATTGCAGCTCTCCACCGACAAGTGGTGGCGTCTCCATATGAGTGAAAAATTCTCGAGAGGGACGTTAAACAACAAACAAACAAAACAAAAAAATTAATAGAAACTGATTTAAACCCCATCTTTAGTGTTTTATATGCTATAATCAGACGATTTATTAGACGGACACATAAAATTTTCTTTGTTTACAGCCTTGGAGGTTTGATCTAGCTGTTTTGCTTAATCTGATTGGTCGACGGAATACAGTTTAAATTATTGCACTTAATCATATAAAGCGAAAGAGATCAAATCTCGATCTCCAAGGCTAACAGTAGGGAAAATTTTATGTGTCCGTCTAATAAATCGTCTGATTACAGCATGTTAAACACTAAAGATGGGGTTTAGGTTAAAGAGACGAGTAGGGGAATATCTCCTCGACAGAGTGATTGCAAAAAAATGATAGGTAACATCGTTAGTGCCTTGGAAATCAGCCTCGAAGTGGGGAAATGCGGTCCCCGTTTGTTTATAATTTTTGTTTCTCTATTATACCGTATATGGCCATTTTAAAACCTTAACAAAAGTACAAACCAATTGCACAGAATGACATACAGATAGAATTGACGGAGAAAACACATATTTTCGAGAAAATAGACTCCTTATATCTTATTAGTTAGTTGGGGTGGGATGGGGGGTTGATCCATGCTTCAGGTGGCTGTGATATCTACATCACAAAGAATTTTGAAAATGTATTGAGATATCCTTGCAACAATGTTCAAAATATATAAAACACCTTGAATTCTGGGAAGACAGCACTTCTGTGTGGCGCCCCCGGTACAGGTAGCGGTGATATAAGAACCAATGCACTGTTTTGTGTCATTCTGACATTTTCCTCCCAAATTACGGCATGATCCCAGATCATCTGAAACAATTTTTGACGATGCTTTTAAGTATTTTGTACGGAAGCCCATTTAGGACCTATCAAAAAATATTTTTGAATTTGATATAACGAGTTTTCGAATTTGTTATAACGAATTTAATTCGATATAACATTTTTTTGAATTCGTTATAACGAATTAAATTTGTTATAACAGATTCGTTGAATTCGTTACTTCGAATTCGAAAATCTGTTATAACAGCTTAAATTCTTATAAACGAATTAAAAAAAAATGTTATAGCAAATTAAATTCGTTTAAACAGATTCTAGAACTTGTTATAAGGAATCAAATTCGTTTAATCAAATTCAACAATTAGGGCCTATTGAAAGACGTATATGAATTCCATAAAAAGATGTATTAACGAATTTAATTCCTTGAAACAAATTAAAGAATTCGTTTCAACGAATTTAATTCGCTATAACAAAATAAAGAATGCGTTTCAACGAATTTAATTCGTTATAACAAATTGAAGAATTCTCTATAGCGAATTCAACAAATTTGTTATAAAAGATTAAATTCGTTATAACGAATTCAAAAAAAAAAAACTTGTTATAACGAATTAATACGTTTTAACAAATTCTTTATATCGAATTAAAAAATATTTTTGATAGGTCCTAAATGGGCTTCCGTAATTTTCCTTTTAATCCTTGCAAAATAATCCAGAAATTAAGAAACTTCATAAACTCTTGTTGAGTAAATTTTTAATTAGATAGCTCATATATAAATGCAACTCATGAAACTTTCCTGGTTTTCCTCATCTAAACCATACAATGTTACATGTATGATCTCGTTTTAAAGTCGTATATTGAACAATAATATCGGCGATCATTGTTTCTCGACATGCATTAGGTAAGACAATTAAGCTTACCTGTGATGTAGAACTCATTTATTAGGTGTTTTGGTGTATAACTTTGCACAAATTGTGTCAATAGAGAAAACGTTAAACATATTACAACTTCACGGACCGCCATGTTGTCGTCTGTCACGGGGAAGAAAAACAAGTTAAAGGCCTGCTTTATTTACTTCCTGTTTTTTTTATTTCCTGAATTCATGTCCATTTTGCATATGTAAATACACAATTTCGTGATCGAATATAACAAAAGAAAAGGAACTAAATAAGGTAAACTTCACATAAATGTAAAAACTCCATTAGGATGTAAAAGTTCTCTTGAGATATATTTAAAAAAAAAGTTTTCATTTTCATCAATAATTTTTTTTATAAAAAATAAAATAATCTACCTGGCTATCTGACACTTCTTGACACGAGTTATTAGATATTTATATTATGCCTCAAATAACAGCAAATTTTATGTTCTGAAATCTCTTATTTGAAGGCTAAAACACTAAAAATAAACCCAACAAAATCAAACACACACCCCCTCACAGACACACAAAACCCCCAAAACAAACACACAACGACAACAAAAACACACTCAACCCCACCCCCCACCCCCACCCCGAAAAAAAAATAATGAAAAAAGAGGCCCATGGGCCACCTAAATCACAATGGTTCAGATTTTCTTCACTAAAGGATTTTAAAAAGATTTCTTTTCCTCTTTATGCCCATAGCATTTTTGACTACGTATTGTGGCCTCACATTAACCCAAAGGGAGTATAATGTAATGAACTTGAATCCATGGGGCCTCAATATCAGTTTAATGAACATGGTCTTTCTGTCCTGGAAAAGATTTTTCGAAAACTTTTTCCTGTATACATGAAGTATGTAAACTCTGTAATTTAGGGAGAAAAACTTGAATCCACACAACTTAAAAATGTTTGCCTATCTATGTGATTAAATGTGGTCCTGTTACTCTTCAAAGGTATCGTAATTTCCCATATATTCCAAAGTAAAATTATGATCCTGTATTGTGTTCCATCCTTCCCTGGGACCATACATGCATCATTTGAGCAAATTTGAACACGCACTAAATGTACCTAGGGATGTTTGCATATTGAAAAGACAAATCAACTAATCATAGCCCCTGCTTTCTTGAGAAGAAGGTATGACAGAGTTTTTAGCTCAACTGAGCCGAAGGCTCCATTGAGCTTTTATGATCACATCTTGTTTGACGTCCTTCCTATCCGTCTGTCTGTAAACTTTTCACATTTTCGACTTCTTCTCAAGAACCACTGGGCCAATTTCAACATTTGTTCTTAGTTATACTTAGGCAATCAAAGTTTTACATGGTGATGTACAGGAAAAAAATCTTTAAAATCTTCTTCTCGAGAACCACTTAGCCAGAATAGATGAAACTTAAGTGAAAGCTTCATTACATATTGTAGATTTAAGTTTGCTCAAATAATGACCCCCGGGGGAAGGGTGGGGCCACAATGGGTGATCAAAGTTTACATAGGAATATCATAATATATGAATAAATCTTTAAAAATCTTCTTCTAAAGAACAGCAAAAGCATGATAAGTCATATTGATATAGAAGCATTCTCAGATACTGAAGATTCAGATTTGTTCAAATCATGACCCCCTGGTTAGGGTGGGACCTCAATAGGCAATCAAAAGTTTACATGGGACTATATAGAGAAAACAACTTTACAAATTTTCTTCTCGATAACAGCAAAGGCCAGAAGAGTTGAAATTCATATGAAAGCTTCATCACATAGTGTAGATTCAGTTTTGTTCAAATCATGCCCCATGGGGATATGATAGGTCCACAATAGGCGATCAAAGTTTTGCATAGGAATATATCTTTAAGAAAAATCTAGAAAAATTTTCTTCTCAAGAATCACTAGGCCAGAAGATTTAAAACCTACCAGAAAGCTTCATCACGTAGTGTAGATCCAAGTTTGCTCAAATCATGACCCATGGGTGTAGGGTGGGGCTAATATAGGCGATCAAAGTTTTACCTAGGGATATATAGGAAAAATCTTTAAATATCTTCTACTAAAGAACAGCAAAGGCATGAATATTCATATTTTTTAAAAATCATCTTTAGGTAGTGTAGATTCAGGTTTGTTCAAATCACACACCTGGGGATAGGATGGGGGCACAATCGTCGATCAAAGTTTTACATAGGAATATGTAGGAATTTAAAAAAAAATGTCTTCCCAAGAACAACAAAGACATGATTAGTCATATTAATATGGACCTATACTTATGCACTTTAGATTCAGGTTTGTTTAAATCATGACCCCTGGGGGAAAGGTGAAGCCACAAAAGGCGATCAAAGTTCTTATATAGGAATATATAAAGAAAAATAAGCTGCTGATGAAGAACAGTGGGGCGATAGTGAGTTAGGTGAACCTTGTGGCCCATATGCCTCTTGTTTTCTATTGTCATCTCCGTCTATAAGCTACCCCGAGGAAAGGGGGGGGGGGTGCAAGACGAGAACAAATTTGAATATGCACTGTCTGAAGCTGCTTTCATTTTATAAGACTGGTAAGGGTCTTATTGCTTTTGAGAGATTTTAACAGATTTTTTTTATATATATAGTCTAATGTAAAAACTTTGAGCCCTTGTACAAATTTGAATTTACACTGCCTGAGAATGTTTGCATTTAAACAATAAAATATTCTCTTTGTTTGAAATGCTTTTGCAGAATAAATACCCTCGTAAGTGGGTTATGTATTTTTTTTTCTGCAATGGTTGCAACTGTTAATTCCGCATCAAAAAACAAAGAAAGACATTTTATTGTTTATATTTATGTCTGTAAAAGTAACTGTACAAAGTAGGTTTAAGGTCGTAAAATATTGTATTATGATCTGACGTCATGTATGTTTCATTGCTGAAAAGTCCACATTCATACAAGTTGCCTTGGAAAACCGGTTTTTTTTTGTTTTTAGCTAAGTGGCATTAATGAATTGATGAAAGGAAGTGGTTTTCACAAGAAAAAAAGAGAACATAATAATTAAATGTAAATATAATTATATGGTTAATCATGGCTCTATTGTTCATGAGAAAATTAAAAAAAAAAAACATTTTCCTCCAGTATTTATTCCCATGTGAAACATTGATCCCTATTATGACTCTACCTTAACCTTATGGGCCAAGAATTGAACGAATCTGAATCTGCAGTACTTGAAGATGCTTGCAAAGAAAGAAATATACGAGGGCTGTTAGGAAATTATTGAGACATTTTGTATATTTTTCTTTCTAATGAACGTCTTTCGGTGAAAATTTGCATATACGTTTGACAAACACTAAGAATTCATAAAAGCAAGAAATATTTTACAAATATTAAATTTCTTCTCTTCAATTGTATATAAATGTGTCAATGGTAGGGGTACCCGGCGCAGTCACGAAATCAGATAATGAAAATATGTAACACCAATGTTTAACACCTCGGTGGACCCATAATAAGAGCGAAAATAATTCAATTTATGTATATAATTTTTTAATTTTATTTTGACTTCATGTTGTGCAAGTTTGTTATAATTCTGATCAGAAATACCGAGATCATTAAAAAAAAAATAAGCGCGGTAAAGAAATCTGATAACGACGACAAAATGGATTTTGACGTCAATGCGGAGCAGCAAGAGACCTTTAGAAAATTTTGTGTAGCACTATGTAAAACTCCTTTCCAGACTGACCAACCTGCTAAAACAATAACAACGAGGGGAAAAAACATGTCTAAGGGTTTGTTACATGTATTTCGTTGGTATATATTTTTTTCTAACCTATAATTCAACTACAGTAAAATCAAAAGCTCCAGACTACCACCAATTTTTACCGTAACGGAATTAATAACGTTGACCCGCATTGCATAAATCGGCACTGCATGATGCTAAGTCATCCTGTATAAATGACGCATGAAAAATTTACAATAGAGAAGCAACAGCACACATTTTCTAAAGAATCGGTTAAGAAAAGAGACAGTTTGATTTTTGTAGGGTATATAATTATGATAACAAAGAAAGACGAGTAAACGCTTCCCGATCGTTTCACATGCAAAATCATCTCCAGCTGACGTGACGTTAAAATGACGTAGCGATGCTGCTCCAGGTCAATAGACATATATGCATGTTTATAATTTCACCGGAACTTACCTAATTATCCTTTAAATTAGAAATTTTGTATAATTGTTTTATTCGTTCTTTATAAAATGTTGACGAATTTTCCTGAAATTATCTCTGTCCTTTATGGGGTTAAAGTAATTGTCTCAATAATTTTCGAACAGCCCTCGTATATGACTATTCATGATCCTGCTGTTCTTGAAAAGATTTTCACATATTATCAGATGTGTCTGGAGACAAATGTGAAAGTTATCAAATGTACGACAGACAGACAGCTAGACAACAGGGGACAGTTGCTTTGAAAAAATCACTTGAACCTTCGATTCAGGTAAGCAAAAACACAATTCAGTCCCCTGAAGAATACAACCAAAATATCGAATAAGTAAGGGCTTATATCAGTTTATTTCAATTTTTATGGAGTTTGCAATATCAAATCTCATGACACTGCTTTTTTTTTTACCGTGTCACTGCTGGAGCTGTTCTTAATGACAGTTAATTTATGGCATCATCTTGAAATATAGAATATATAATATACAGCTCGGCTATCTAGGCAAGTCAAAAAAACTTGCTTTCGATGCCGATGAAATTCTTGCGGCGCTGCCCTGCACTGGACATTTGCGAAATAGCGTACAGCGAACAGCGGACTTCGGACTTCAGACATTTAAAGCGAACTTTTCAAAGGGAGCGGTATAAAAAATTGAAAAAAATATCAAATTACAACCAATCATCTGAAATGTATAGGCTTTTAATATATATATAGATTAATTTAAATCGAAGGATGTTGAAATTGGTGTTTTGATTGCTTTATTTAGAAAATTTTATAAAGATTTTACATGTATATGTGTATAAACATGTATATAAATTCCCACATTAAAATGTTTCGAAATAAGTATTATATACATCAGTATGAATTATTAAAGTGAAAAGCATCAAATATGAAGTTCATACAAGTCCTATACTACGATCATGAAATGAATGGTAAAGACGCTACATTTCCACTTTACATTCTGTA